GTCAATCGTGTCAACCATCACTGCTGGAGGTTGAAAAGTCTTCTTCCGGCTCTGAAGCCTTGTATCCTGCAGTTGCAGATTTATAAACAATATTGAGACATTATGACTGGTTTGACTTTTTATAAGAATATGAAGGCAAAGAGGTTGGTGAGACGTATGTAACAGCAGTATAAGATGGTGAAAACGATGACGCCACGTCAGTGATGCGAAGAATGTTTAACTACCCAAGTTTTAGCTGAAGCCGGCTGACCCGAGAATAATGTCATAATGTGGACAAAATCGAGTTTCTGTAATCTTAAAGAAGCTAACTGAACAAGTGATGCGAGTTGCTGCAGTGTGTGCTGCGAAACGTGGAACAAAGATTGATGGCTTATGCTTGTTAAAGGAACAGGAGTTCGTATTGCATGTAGCTCAGCATTTATACTGGCGTTACATCTGTAATTTTTTTTTCGCTTTTTTCTTGAGTCTTCAAAGAGAAAAACTGTAGTAGCGCCGCCTATACGAGGGCTTTTCCAAAAATTGGACTGTCATAAAGCAGACTGTTTAGGAGTCAGTGAATAAAGCCCACACTTTCAAACATATCTTTAATGGTACTATATGCCATCCACTGGTCAGGCACTAGAGTTGGTCTTGGAACAACGTACCGCTTGATCAGTGGTGGAAGGGTATGAGCATCTTGGTGTTCCACTGGGACGACAAAACACTTATTGGTGCTTCGCTCAATGGTCGCAAAACGCCACTTTTTCCCTATTGCCCCACCTCTTTGAATTTTTCCTTGGCAAGGAGTATTTTATCAATCTCCATTACCTTACCAAAACCTTTGATCGTTGAAGAATTTCTCCAGAAATTTTCTGTACAAATTAGCTAAATAACAAAGTTGCAGGATTTAAGAACAGAAGTGATAGCACTAAAATTGGGGGTACTACCACTGCGCCACACTGCTCCAACAGTCCTGCGTTTTAGGATATACGTAGATATTTATATAGGTGAGTACAGAAGTTGCAGGGATGCCGTTGCTTCAATCCTCTTCCCTCTGTTGCTGTCACTTCTCCTTTGCTGCCTTCCTCTTTACTGTCTCCTTCTTCAACTTTCGCACCAAAAATCAGTTAGCCAGTCAGTGCGCTAGGGTCGTCAGTGTGCAAGAGGTTCTACTTTTTTACTTTATTTTTCATTTTTTTTTCCAAAATCGCATGTCTTTTGGAAGTAAAAACTGTCTGTCCATGATTATTATATCAGCTTTTGGTTCATAATTTTTCATATTTTAATTTAAAAAATTTATTGGAGTTCTTGCATTTTGACGGCTCCGCATGTATGTTTGAGGACGGGCCCCAAAAGAGGCCTCTCCTCCTCGCACCCTGCGATTAAAGCGGTGTCGCTGTCGTTGCAGCTTGGAGTAGTCGTGGAGACATGTTGATTGTTTTAACCTCGACCAAGGAACTGCGAAGCCTCCTTCTGATGCAGGGAAG